CCCCCTCCTTCTGTCCAAATCGCACCCTGCCTGAGCACAGCTCCCCCTCCTTCTGTCCAAATCACACCCTGCCTGAGCACAGCTCCCCCTCCTTCTGTCCAAATCACACCCTGCCTGAGCACAGCTCCCCCTCCTTCTGTCCAAATCACACCCTGTCTGAGCACAGCTCCGCCTCCTTCTGTCCAAATCACACCCTGCCTGAGCACAGCTCCCCCTCCTTCTGTCCAAATCACACCCTGCCTGAGCACAGCTCCACCTCCTTCAACATTAACTTTTTTTCAAAACCTTTTAATTGAATAAAAGATTTTAATTGAATAACTTACTAAAAGGTTAGTTTTGTGGTAAAAATTATGTTTTCTTTTTTAATCAGCTTTAATGTTAATTTTCATACGTAGCTCTGATCAGACACTTCTCGAGTGGATGAGACATTCCTACATGATGCCTTGATTTCTGTTCCGTGTTTTTGTAATTTGATTCATTCCAAACCTTCACTTACTAGCTAGGCTCTGCTAGAGATGAGACGTGTGTAAGAAGCAACCCTTAAAAAAAATCGATATTTTAATGGATTTTCCCAGGGACAATATGAATTAATAACCAGGAATATTATAGTGATAAACCATTTTGATACATTTTTAAATTTCACTTACATGTTACATTTACAATTTAACCACATGTTATGTATACGGAGCCCCTGAAGGGACTTAACATTCAAAATAATCTTACACACACGCTGTTTTAGGATGAACATATTTACTAAAAAATAAAGTTAAAATAAATGACTGTGTTCTTGGTGGGGGGGTACAATGGCTCATTTCGGAGGGGGGGGGGGTCATGACCTGCGGATGCCCCCCATGATGCCAACCCTGTAACGCTGAAAAGTCACATTTGTCTCCACGAATTTGCTGACCCGCGTTGTCTGGAGATATGCCAAAAGAAGTCATTTATGCATGGTGAAAAGATGCAAAGCAACAAAATGAATGTTATATTCTACCTTAATGGTGTGTTGGTTCTGAAACTGAGACTGAAACCACAATACAAACGTTCATGATCTCGTGTCATGCTTCTGGAAGCACAAGACAGAACCGCGAGCCAACCCCCAAACCCACTACTTTCGCTGCAGGTGCAGAGCGCCGAGCTCTCATTACATTACTATGTATGTCACAAAACTCATTTTTCATTTAACAGTTAACACCCATAACAAAATTATTCTGTTTAAAGTTATAGCAAGCTGTATATCTTGTAAATATTTTCCTATTTCCAAGTACATTTGTCATGTGACATCCCAATCATGATTGAGTGAGTGCGCCCTCAGTAAACACTAGGGTAGTCTCATTATCTTAAGATGGATAATTACCCTGAGACTGCAGACCCGCCATTTTGATTATCTAGTGGACAAAACACTCGGTGTCATAGACGAAAGAAACAGAATTGGGTGTAAGTGTTGCAAAAACTTGCTCAGCTAGCAGGCATGTCAGAAGACGTCATCCTGCCACTGATCTCAACAGCACACCAAAGATGAATAAAATGCAGAATCGTTATATCCCTTTTATATTTGCTATTTGTTTTTTGTCTGAAAATAATATTTTCGGATGTAACCCCTTTGTAATACCAAGATTTTGATTAGTATCTGTAATATAATTGCATATATTCTCAGTAACTAACATATATCAATTACATTTATTTTGTAATTTAATTACGTAGCGCCATTACATTACATTAGTAGTTACTCTTCAACACTGTCAAAGCATGACATAAAGATACTTCTGAGGTGGAACAGCCCGCGTGGGCAGGACGGTGTGTTATTCTTGTGAGTTATGGCTGCATGGGCTCTTCAGGTAGAGCTGAAACCGTAACAAAAGGTCACCTTTCTGAAACCATCGTGCCTGTTTTCACATTGAATTTTTGTCTCTTTGATTTTGGCAGGAAAATAAAGAACATTCCTAGAATGTTACTATGGCATATCCGCCATTTAATCACTAAATATGCTGTAGTAAACATACAGTATTCTCTATAGGCCTAATTCTGGAATAATCTTTTTATAAATTTGATTTGTATTGCGATTTTTATTATGTATATAAGTATTTCTGATTTAAATATAAATGTGCTACTTGACCTGGAGGGAACAATTAAATTTATCTTTAGCTTCATTAGATCTTTTGAAATTCCAGCGCAATTTCCTCNCCATTTAATCACTAAATATGCTGTAGTAAACATACAGTATTCTCTATAGGCCTAATTCTGGAATAATCTTTTTATAAATTTGATTTGTATTGCGAGTTTCAGGTTTTGCATGTGTATATGTGATTTAAATATAAATGTGCTACTTGACCTGGAGGGAACAATTAAATTTATCTTTAGCTTCATTAGATCTTTTGAAATTCCAGCGCAATTTCCTCGGTAACAATGGACTATTTCCCAAGGTGGCAACGCACTTGTCTGGAGTGTCGAAGCGATGGGATGAATCGATGCTGCTATGTTTGAACCTCATTCCTCCACTTTGGTCCTTCGCCCTGTTCTGCATACACAAAATGTTCCCTCGTTCATTTGTATTTTTTTTTCCTTTTGCTTAATTTTATTTATTGTAGTTTTAATACGATGTAGCAATCTTTCTAGTGATCTCTGAAGAAACTTTTTAAACTCTTTATCAGAGTTTTGCACATTTTTATTTTAAGAAGTAGCATTAACGGGAAGAGTCCTGCAAGCAGAGCGTGGTTATAATGTAAAAGACAGAGGCCACTAACATTCATAATTACGCGGCTATTCATTGTGGCAACGTTTTGAGAGCAAGTCGTTTAGTGATATTTATGTGTTACAAAACATTTGTTTTCCCCACCAAATGTTGAGTTTTATGCAGACGACTGTTTATCTATATGTTAATGTTTTTTTTTGGAGCTTTTTTTTTGTTCCTCTACTCAACGATTGCTACCGCCCTTACACACACTTTCATGGTCTCTCTCTACCTGTCACCTTAAAGTACTGCTTAGTTTTAGTTTGATTCTCATAAAGGTTTTTTTCCCCTTTTACACAAAAGCCACACTTAGGCTGTGTGCTTACTAACCTGTGTGGGGTATTAATTAGAGCAGCCACAGAGCATAATGGTGAGGTCACCAGCACTGCGGCTCCATGGATCATAACAGCATGTCTTTAATTGGCCTCGCAAAAAGATGAGCGTCATTAGGAAAGGGCTGCGCTTTGCCATCTCCTTCTCCCCTTCCATCCTTTCTTGCTGCTGCCCCGCTCTGCATTTCACACACACATGAATATTTCATCCCCCTGCTTCTGCTTAAATCGCAAAACTAAAAAGCTCAGCTGCAGTGTCTGACTTCATGTGTTTTTTTATCCCGTGAATCAGTCTGAGGGGACGTGAGCAGGGCCCTCACAAATAAATAGCATTTCCTCAAGGACTGTGAGCCAGCACTCGATTTGCAGTACGCAGGTGTGATGCACAGGGAAACTCTATAAGATATCTAACTATATAAGCTATATAACTTCAGAATGACCATTTTTATATGGTCTCTAGGTGCTCAGTTAGGACCTCAGCTGTCCCTCTCTGTTTGTGTAAACCTTTCACTGCTTTCTTTGCAGTCTCTCTCACAGGATACTGGAGGCATTTCCTGTTCTGATTGATAGCCTTTGACTGTTGCATAGAGCACTTGTTCTTTGTACTGACCGGTAATTTGCTTTGGAGAAGAGTGTCTGCCGATTTAAATAGGCGTAATTGTAATCAGCGTCCCTGTTTGTTGGAGATGGATCCATTTTGACAAGGTGACGCATAGCATCGCCTCTGTTATTCCACACAATTAAATTGCGTTTATTGTAAGATGTCGCCAAAGGAACTGAAGTAGCCATGAGCAACTGTGTCAATGGGAAACGTCTTTTATTTAATGTAATGGATCTTACAAAGAGGCAAAGGAAATGCTGAGTGGACCAGTTATGAAAAACACCCACAGGAACTGTGCACTAGTACATCCTCTAAGGCAGTTTCCCCCAATCCGGTCTTTGGGGACCCCAGCTGGTCCACGTTTTTGCTCCATCCCAGCTCCCTAAAATGTGGATTGTCTTGCAGCTGGGAGGGAGCAAAAACGTGGACCGGCTGTGGGTCCCCAACGAGCAGATTGGGAAACACTGCTCTAAGGGAAAGTTGATTTACATCTCTGCAGCTGAAACTCCCCAGTAAGGCCCAGTAAATGGCGTGTTATCACCTCTGTGTGTCACACTGTGCTGCTCCTCAGCTGCAGATCCTGTTGGCAGGTGGATTTGGCCGCCATTATTAAAATATTAGTATTTAAATGTATGTGCTAGTTCCCACATTTCACACTGGACCTTGGCTCCCTCAAGGCAGACTTCTGGAAAGGCTATGGTTTCTGTTTTTGTTTTTGTCATTCTGTTGGTCACCATTTGGGAATTTATAGTTTATCATATTCTCTGTTTCTGTTTTCTAATTAGTGATGTCTATATTAGTTGAGTGAGTAATTTTATTACACTGCCTAATGCAGTGTGAAGGACATTATGGCCACAACACATTGATTGATTCATGTTAGAAACTGTCTAATTTTATTTCATTTTAATTGACTAGCTCAAGGCAAAAACTCTGCAGTGATGTATGTCAATAAAGAGTTTTTTTGTAAGACTAAATAAGATCAAAAAATACATTTAAGCTCGAAAGAAAAATGTTTTTAAACATATTTATTAAAACCATTTGGGCACATTAAAATATTTTTTTTTCTGCCAGCAGAGCCACTGAACGGCCCCGTGGTCTGGCACAAGCTGGAGAAGCTCACTGCATACCAGCGATAGCATGAGAGGTGCCTCCTGTCTGCACTGCTCATTGTATGGATACGTGTGTGTGCTCTCTTCAAGGACTTCAAAGCCGGGATCGGGGTGGCCATTGTGGAGCTGGCTGCCGCCCACGTGAAGGATGTGGAGCGAAAGGGCTTCGAGATTAATACCCCCTTTAAAAACTTCTGGTAAGCCTGTCGCCCTCTTGTGCCCTCGCTCTGCTTTTGTGCGTGTGACCCCGCCCTGTAGTTACCACAGGACCAGCCTCATCTAGACTTTTAAATCTCTATTCTCATGTGCTGTTTATATACGGTAATTTCGTAATAATTTTACTTTCAGTATTTAGTTTGTGTCGATTTTATTTGTTGTTTCAGTAAGATGAATACATGCAAAGTCATACACACGAATGGTAGCGTATCAAAGTGCCTCTGGGATGAACTAGACACAAATAAACAACCAGCTGAGTGTATCTGTCGAATGACCCACACACCTGACTAAATGAGAAGGTCGAGAGATGATTAAATAAGGCATGGATGGTTACTGCTTAGCATGCTACAGAACTGGTCAAATGATAAACATACTCGCTGAGTATGTTGGTTTATTTTGTTAAGTTATGAATTAATAGTTATTACTGAGTAAGTCGCAGACCTAAGGGGCCAGTTTCCGAATGTCCTCAGGAATTCTGACTTTCTTAACGAAACTCTCAAAAATGGATATTCCGGAGTAAATGGATATTCCTGGGGGGATCTATTTTGATTAGCCTGTCAGTGGCTCCTCTTGTTTCCGCTCATTTACATTTATCAGTTTAGGGGTCACACTGGCCTAAAGCTAGAGAATAGAGAATAGAAAATGGCTGTATACTTTATATATTTATTTATTGGATACTTTTGTCCAAAGTGGTAAATGGGTGAGGATCAGAGTGCAGGGTCAGACAATCCTGGGAGCAGTGGGGTTAAGGGCCAGGTCAAGGGTCCAGTGGTGACCTCACTCTGCCAGCCAAGGGATTTGAACCAGCGACCTTCTGATCATGGGCACAGGGTCATAACCTTCTGTGACACACAGCACCCCCTTGTGGCCTTGGGTGAAGGTGTCTGATGCTGGAGGCCCCTCTAAGAGCAGAGCGGCGATGCATGCAAACCCGCTGCGGGCGTTTCCTGCCTTGGGCTTCTAATCTGGGCTGGCGTGAGCTTGTTTATTTCTACCTTGACAAACTTTTCATCTATTTTTAATTAGTTGTGTAATGCTATTAAAGTTATGATCACATGCAACACTGACTCACATTTATATGTTGAATGGAATTTACTGAGAGGCATTTTTTTTTCCTGTTGAGCTCAGTAAATTGAAACATAAAGCTGTTTTTTTTTTTATTCTAAAATGTATTCTTGCGTTCAGCTTGCTGCTGTGGTGTGGACACCGGATACCAGAGTGTTTTGGAACACGGGTAGCAGGAATATTACAGGGCAGTAGCTTGGATGAAAAAGATCACACTTACTCTACTAAAATAAAGAAGGAAGGGTTTAATTGGAAACGTTCTGCTAACCTGATAGAAGCCCAGCAAGCAGCCAGCCCTGGGGTAGCTGACTGGGTCCGGCTGCACTCGCACTAATCCCCTTTTTATGGATTATTACTTTCATTCACCTTGTTCCTTTTAAAAGTGTCCTCTAGGCATAAGCCTCTTATCTTGCCCATTTTGTCCTAATCGACCACCAAAACAACAGGCACATTTATTTCTCCCGCGTCCCCCAGGCTGGTGCCCCCCCCCCACGCCCCGTGGCTGACCAGCGCAGGAGCGCGTGCAGGAAATTGACTTTGGCTCCGTCGCCGTAATGAATTTCCTCGGCGCGGCTGCAGTGTCAGGACACGAGGACCCTTCTGCAGTTGAGGGTGGCGTGTTTTGAAGCGGGTGCTTCCTCTGTGACATTTCTGCGTGACGTCGAGTCCCCGGGTGTGAAATAATCACGTTTAAATGTGATGACGGTTCTGCCTCCCACACTGCTGGTGGAAACATGCCAAAGTGTAGCTGTTGTGTTCCGTACAGGGAGACGAGGCTCCCTTCCTCGGACCGGCCTCAGTGAGGCCCTGTGAAGTATTTTGTGCTCAGGCCCGCCCCCTGCAGGCCGGGAATGGGGAGGACAAATTAAGACCCAACAGCTGGATATTGATTGTTGTATCAGGGCTGCCGTTGGATTTCAGAATTTTCCTTGTCTCTGTACTCTGTGTAACTGGCTGGCCATTTTTTGTGTGTGAGTGGGGAGGGGGGTTAGTGCAAGATCCCTGGATTGATGTGGGGGTGGAGCCAGCCATCTTAAAATAGACCAAGATATGCGCTGAGACAAAGTACCATGCCCTGCCTCCTCCTTGGTGCCCCCATCCTCTCCTAAGGACCTTACCCCCCAACCCCCCCCCCCCTCCTGTATCTGTATATATATATTTACAGGAGTCGTGCCCCCATCCTCTCCTAAGGATTTTAATGGCCGTATGTAATTGGGGTCTTGTTGGTAAATTGAGTAGATGAAGGACAACATGATCTAGTTTATCCCCAGCAGCATCAGCTGACTTGGCTATGGAGAGCACTGCTGGTAAAAATGACCGTGTAAATATGCGTCTTCGTCACGCCTTGATGATATTGCAGAGGAGTCCCCTCATGTTTTTGTGAAACTGTGTTTTTGGGCAGAGCTCAGTTGTTGATTTACTTATTTTTAAGTTTTTCTCAAAGACATCCTCTTGACTACTGAAAAGTCAGTAGTACTGAATTTTGAAACTTAAGAGTAGCACTCTATAGCACGTCTGCTGAAATTGCAAAAAAAATGTGCCTTTTGTTGTGGCTTGCTCTGACAGAATTCCCTTTAAAAAAGTATTTTTGAAACATATGCTCTCTGAGTGAGTTAAAAAATCATGGAAGTTTCTGGAAAGCAGCGAGTACGCAGGATAAAACGCCGCCACGTGTGGCAGGCGTCGGGCACTGAGGAGATGGAAGCCTAGGGCCAGTCGTCATCCTGCTCGAGCTCATCCCACACGCTTCAGATGCACAGCAGATGCACCACGGTGCCTCGGTGATTCACCCAGTCCTTTGATGATGCCGATATCAGGCTCTGCCCTGTGTTGGTGCAAATTGCCATAACAACAGAAAACTGAGACAAGGTCAGAAATAACAGGAGCAGAGAAAGATTTACCAATCATTTTGTGAGTATACAGTACTTCCAGAGCTACCTAAAGAATAAAGTTTGGCTGATATAATTAACTTCAGTGTAATACTCATACACAGTGTGAAATATGTCTGATGGATTTAAAAGGTCCAGTCAGATTTGGGGCCAGAGTAAGACAGGTTGTTATGGTTGTTGTGAAAGGTAATCAGTCATGTAAACACATGTATATGCACGCACACACACACACACACACACCCAAACATGCAAACAGGCTCGTAGGTACACAGCTGATGCACACACACACGCTTACACATGCGTGCACGTGTACAGAAAGACGGAAACCTCTCGGTACCTGAACACGGCCAGTGGTATGTACTGTTTAACTGGACTCTGAATCAATGACTAAATAGTGGAAAAAAACTGAATCGTTGCAGCTTCACGGCAGAGTCGGAAAGGGAGAAGGAGGAGTGGATTGAAGCGGTCCAGGAATCGATAGCCGAAACTCTCTCCGATTATGAAGTGGCTGAGAAGATCTGGTTCAATAAGTCCAATCGGAGCTGTGCGGATTGTTCATCGCCGTTGCCGCAATGGGCGTCCATCAATCTGGGAGTTGTCATTTGTAAGAAGTGTGCAGGTAATAAAGATTGAACTCTCTGAAATGCTATTTCTCTCCAACTTAATGCCTCACCCCCCCCCCCCCCAGCCTCTTAACTGTCACCACACTCCTGCTCACTGCCTGATGGATCATTCGTGCTGGACGTGACCTTGCCTCTCTGCAGTCGTGCTTCACCCCACAGCTACGGGTGTTTTCTTTTTTCTGGGAAGTGCTGATTCCTGAGGGGGAACCCGTGCCGAGTTTGCCGTTGGGGCCTTTGATGTCTTTTTGAGAAGATGTCAATACATGGAGCCACGAGGAACTGATTCGGCTGAGGATCTGTGGGTCATCACAGTGTTTCTGGGGTGATATTGCTTGGGTCCATCCAGCCATCCGCATCTAATTGCCCGTCCACTTAGGACTGGTCAGGGATTCCTTTAGAGGGAAGCGTCATGCTGACAAAACGGTGATGGATTTCAGAAAGACTTTGCCAGCATGACATTACAGAAGAAATAAATATTCTTTCTGAATCAGAGTATTACAGCAACCAGCATGCATGTTATTCAGAATCGTAATATATGCACAACTGCAGCAAGCCCACGCCTGTTTCCATGGAAACGATGCAAGCGGGTATTCATGGGCTATGAAGCACTTTAGCAAAGTGAAACTTATCTAGGTGTTTAATTGCATTGAAAAACTCATTAAGTACACTTAATTGTGCAGTGTTTTCTTTTGAATCCTTAACGAGTTGTGAAGGCCTCAGTAACTGACTGGGCATCTCCTCCCACCCTTACACCCTGCCTCTATGGGGTGTGCGTCTCCTCCCACCCTTACACCCTGCCTCTATGGGTTGTGCGTCCCCTCCTGTCCTTACTCCCCAGCCATACAGGGTGTGCATCTCTTCCCATCCTTATGCTCCATCTGAGCGGGGTGTGCGTCTCCTTACACCCCACCTGTGCAAAGTGTGTCTCCTCCTGTCCTTACACCCTGTCCATGAGGTGTGTGAGTCTCTCCTTATACCCCTTTTTGTTTTCAGTCCCATTCATCAGCAGAGTGGCTGTTATCTTACGTTTTCCCCTTTTATATTTTTTCCCTCATATCAGAAGGACACACTGTAGAAAAGGCAAATTTGCACTTTTTTATCATTTAATTTGACAAAAGCTAAATCAGCTGCAATTTTAATACCCATAGTCCTTTGATGGACAATACAGATATGGGATATTGCTTATTTGTGTTTTTTTTTAGCTGTATACATAATTTATCTTTATTTTATTTTACTTTTATAACTCAAATTCTGATGAGTGACTGATGCAGCATAACATTATTAATTATGAATCTATTGTAATTAAGGCCTTTCCCAGTTAATCGCTGCTTCTTCTGCAGTAGAGGCGGAGGTGTCACATATTCGCTTTGTCCTCAGGTCAGCACAGGTCACTGGGTTCCAGCATCTCTCAGGTGCGAAGCCTCAAACTGGACCACAGCATCTGGAGCAATGAACTGGTGGAGGTAGGCTGCATGTGGAATGGCTGGGAAATGGGGGGGCAGGGGGACCTGTACTCCCCAATGTTAAATTTGGCTTCATTCATCCCTCATTAAAATGACCTGTGCATCTAAATTATTAAGTTGTGTCTCAAAATCTCTGCTACGCTGATGCTGGCCGGTATTTATGGACCTATAGTTGTAATTCTGATATTTATGGGCCTGATGGCAGAGAGTTGCACCCATCTCCTCTTCCCATGTGTGGTATTACAAACCTGCAGGTTTAAGCGTCATTTTTATTGAGCAGCTGTGGCTTCCTGAAGTCCCTTGATAGGACTTGGGCGTGTTTATGATTTTCTGTTATTTCTATTTATCAAGCTGGCCTTGATGAAAACAAACCCTGAATCTGCAGAAATCACCCTAAACGAGACTCAATTGATCTCTATAGACGGAATTTGGCTGTTATATTTAGTGACTAGTTGCAGGCAGTGTTTGGTAGTTGTGAGATTTATCAACAGCTGAAACTCTTCTGTACTTGAATGATATTAGCAGATAGAAGACTGTGTGTGCTGTGGTGTTACAGTGAGTCGGGGGGGGGGGGCTCTTGAGATCTCCTGTCCATCTTCACATGCCCCACTAGCTGGGCCTGACGGGGGTGCTTTTGTTTAATGCCCCCCACCCCTACCCAGTGCCCAAATCTTCCACCTCTCTTCTTGGCAGCTCTTTCTCACCATCGGCAACAAGAACGCCAACCTCTTCTGGGTGGCGAACCTGTCCCCGGAGGAGGAGCTACAGCCTGGGGCAGCTCCAGAGCGGCGGGCTGCCTTCGTACGCAGGAAGTACTGGGAACGGAAGTACACGCGCACGCTGGAGGGCCTCCAGAGCCAGGAGGAGCTCAACAAGGTGGGCAGGGTTCCGACTGGTCTCAGGGACGCTGGTGGGTGAATTGCTGGGGGAAATTTCCGGGGACGCCCTCTGAATAAATGGGCAGGAGGTGGTCATCATGGTCACCGCCAAGCCCTCACGATGATCCCTGCTCCGCTGCATCCGAGCTGCGGCCTTCCCAGGGCTCTGGACTTGACAGTTAGAAAAATAAGGCGGTGTTTTGCGGAGTTTCGAGTAAAGCGAGCACCCTGGGGCCGTTCATCTCCTGAATGTATGCTGTTCCTTGCAGGGAGCCGACAGCCGCCCGGTCACAAGGATCCCGGTGTTTACAAATAAGCAGCCTGGGGCCGGCGAGCCCCATATATCGTGTTTATTCATCACGGACCTTTGGTGAAAGCGGGCCTGATTGTGTTTATTACCCCCCAAGTGTTTTTTTTTGCACTGGTGTCAGCATAAGCAAGGATGATCCCTTTCATTGTTCTAGTGGGACTGGAAGTAGGGGGAGAGAGAGAGAGAGCGAGAGAGAAGGAGAGTGAGAAGGAGGGCGAGAAGGAGAGAATTTTCAAAGTGGAAAAGTGGATTAAGATCCACAACAGCAATGCCACAGTGTCACTTATCTCTCTGTGTGTTGGTGCGTCACACACGAGCCAGGGAGGTGTAAATTTGGTGATGAAAGAGAGATTGTCAGAAGGAATAAAGTGTCTCAGGAGTGTGTGAGTGGGGGGAGGGGGGTGTCAGACGGCCCGTTTTAAAGGGTGCCAGCAACCTGAGTGGCACGGCGTGGGTGCGACTCGTGAATTATAAAACAGTGATACGCGTGTGTGGGTTTATCTGCCCCAGTCCCCACCGGGTGGGAGGGTGGGCATGTTGTTGGTGAGGCACAGACGTGCATCAGTCCATGGTGTGGTGGTTATAGGAAAGTCACTGGATAAGTCCAGATGCTGGTTTTCATGTTGAGGGACCTGCATCTATTCACAATATGTATAAATCATGATCGCTGGTAGTTTAAATACAGTTCCCAGTCAGCATTTTGCCATCACCTACACTCCCCTGGTCCTTATCTCAGTTCTGTGGGTTTTTGGAAAATTAAAGTACTGAACCTTGACAGGTGCCCTGGCACTCAGAAATTCTACATGAATGAACGCTGTAATGCCCAGGGTATGCCGATGATTGACAGAGAATGAGTAGTACTTCCTCGAAACACTTAAACTGTGAAGTAAGTCCTAAGCAGATTGCACATGTACAGCAGGGTCCAAAAGTCTGAGACAACTAGTGAAAATGTTTCTACTTTGCATTCTTTTCTGATTAAATATGAAATTAGTCATTATAAATTGTATAATCAGCATAACAGTTTGATTAGTTGAATTCCAGGATTTCATCATATTTAATAAATGCCAGTGACTCTACATATTACTCCACAAAGAGCATCTCATGACGTTACTGAATGCATGACTTCTTGGTCTTCAGGTGTCCCCATAAATGTTTGATGAGGTTGAGGTCATTACTGCCCTATGTCTCACATTTCATCAGCAAATCGCATAAGTAAACAAGACCTTTTTCCAGTGATCCACTGTGAAATGCTGGTATTCTTGGCCCTTGCCTAAACTTTGTTTATTTCTAGGATTAAATTAAGGAAATGGCAGTTTTCCAGTGTGGTCTCAGACTTTTGAACCCTACTTTAATGCCCTGAAATGCTGCTAAGTGGTAGAGCTTAAGTAAGCCTGCAGTATTACTGTATTCAGCAATGTGTGTATTTCTGTTAGCGTGCCATGGCTCTAAGTGTGCTGCTGCTTGGCCCTAACTGTGCCGCAGCTTGGCCCTAATCATGCTGTGGCCCTAATTGTGCTACGGCTCTAAGCGTGCTACAGCTCAGTATAAAGCATGCTGCAGCCCTAAGCGTACTGCGGCTCTAAGCGCGCTACTGCTCGGCCCTAAGCATGCTATGGCTCAAAGCATGCTACAGCTCAGTACAAAGCATGCTGCAGCTCTAAGCGCACTACTGCTCGGCCCTAAGCATGCTGTGGCTCAAACCATGCTACAGCTCAGCCCTAAGCATGCTGCGGCCCTAACCTTGCTGCAGCTAAGCGTGTCATAGCTCGACCTTAAGCGTGCCTCGGCTTGCCTGTAAGTTTGCTGCAGCTCTAATCATGCTATGGCTCGGCCCTAAGCATGCTGCGACTGTAAGTGTGCCCTAACTTGGCCTTGTGCGTGCCCTGGCTTGGCCCTAAACGTGCTGTGACCCTAAGTGTGCTGTGGCTCTAAGCATGCTGAGGCTCTAAGCGTGCTGCCGCCCTAAGCATGCTGAGGCTCTAAGCGTGCTGCC